TCAGATGCAAAATAAGATTTCTAATGTCTGGATGTAAATAAATATTATACAATTTTGTTTACGATATGAGAGATAAGGTCATTTAATAGTGGAGCAGAATTATTAGTTATTTATCGCATTATCATACGTTATTATACGTTTATTTTAGTCTATATTTAGAAAGAAATGATGTTTTTTTATGTTCCTATTAATGATGTCTCCAGAGTTCAGCAAATTCTTCGCAAAAAGAATAAGTTAACAGGATACACGTCAGAGTCACGAGAGTAGTCATGTGACCGAATAGCACCTATAAATGTCACGTGAAACGCTTCGTACGTGTCCTTCATTCGATGTGCCGTTCCGCGACGAAAACAAGCTTAAGCAATGGCGTATTCCAACGGCGCACACTCGGATAAGTATTCTTACGATTTTTTGTTTATTGCATATTTTATATGGATTATTCCCAAAAAATTACACGTGTTATTTCGCATAGATAAGACGGATCGTTTCTGGTCCGCGGACTACAGTTTGAGTAGCGCCGTGTCACGAAGTTCGATCGGTGTCAGGCAAAGAAACGGCGTTATTAAGTCAGACAGCGAGCAACTCTGTTTTAAATTCTTTTTTAATCGCACAAATTTTATTTCTTATCGGACTTTTCAATTAAACACGAAAATACATGTAGCTTTTAACACCAAAAGGTATACAAAAATGAATGAAATCGGAAGTAACGTAGTCGATAGAAAATTGCCCACCGGGATGTATTTAAAGAACGGATAATATAACCTTTCTAGATATTTGGCTGGATTCTTAATGCTTAAATGTAACGAAAACGTTCGCTTAGTAAAAGTTTCATATCTAAAAAGGTTTTGTTATTCATTTTTTAGAAACTCGAGCTTAAAAATAAATCGTTAAACTTGGAAATTTCTTCCTGTTATTTGGAGTCCAATAAAGTCGGAATGAGAAACTGATTGTCGCTTAACACGTTCAAAGACCTAAAAAACAGTAAAATCTTATAATTTACTCAAATATAGATGTAGCGGCCTTAAAACTTTTCTAGAAAATTACTTTTTTAAGAAAGAGATTTTATAGAAAAGTGTTATTAAACTTTTAATATTAAAAGTTCAATATTATTGTTAGCGTTTAAAAGTTTGAGAAAGGAATATAACATAGCATTAAAAAAAGAAAAAAAAACATTTTATATCAAGCTAAATCATACAGTCTTTTTGTTATATATACATAAAAATATATAATTTTTTGAGTCTATTTCTTTTTATCCTTTTTGCAGACCAACTCAGAAGTAACAGTAAATTAGCTTGAAGATATAAAAAAATCTTCTTAAAACATTATAGATATAGATTATTAAAAAAGCTAGCACAAAGATCAAAATGATCGAAACGCCTACATTTGTATTTTAGGATCCGGCGCTTTCACAATAAACAATGATAAAAAAATGTTCGCAATATCTACAGTGAATAGAAAAATAGAAGGATTCACTCTTTCTGCTATACTTTCGAAGCGTCAGTGATAAGTAATGACGTCATGTTCCGCATCACGTGATTCTTTTCTTTAAAATCACAAGACCCGAAATGCATTTCCTCCATGAATAAAGCCTGCATCGATAACTGTTCCTTGTGTGAAAAAAGAATCAAAAGAAATTTTCATGTAAACACTAAGAATTTCAAAAGTGAACAACGGTTGAAAACTCTTCAAAGAAACAACACTGGAGAAAAGCCTTACTGCTGTGACGATTGTAAATAGAAGTTTTCAAACAATATTTAATATTTTCCAATTTGCTGAAATTTCGTAATTGAATTTTCTGTTGGAATATACAAAATAAACTTAATGTAGAAATTCGTTGAAAACAGTTTTAGTTATTATAAAATCACGCTATCATAACTTCATATCAATACCTGAATTGTTAATTAATTTCAAAAACCGTAAATGGCTTCCTTCAAAAAAAATGGGTGCGACTTCTGTAAATGACACCCTCGCGAGTGTTCGCTACCACCCTGAAAAGTTGACACTTCACGTCATCGTTCTAACTATCCTCGTCTGATTTACTTTTATTGTAATCAACATTAGAGTAAAAACGTAGTAAGACCTTGTAATTTATAGTAAATTACTAGGTCCTTCTATGGTGATAGTAGTAGTTATTAAATTCAAATTCACGCTTTACGTAGTATTACAGTATTTATTTTGGAAGCATTAAAAATACAAAAATAAGAGAATAACATTGAATTTATTTTTCACTATAAAGCAATTTAAAAAATCAAAAGTACGTAAGTTATAATATTAGTCTACGATAAAACTAGACCGAGGCATAAAAATTGAACCAATTTACTTAAATTTAATTAAATATACGACTGTCCATACGCTTGCCTTCCTTTTCTCCATCAAACAATTTAAAAACTGCAATTGATTCTGTAAACATTTTACAAACCGTTATTATTGTAATGATATATGAATCCTGAATCCTATATAATTTCTAACTGTGATTATAAATATATCTGCAAAATATTTTCGATATAAACACTAGGCCACAATAATAAAGACAAATTGATAAAGCATAAATTCTTCTAACATCCTCAAATCGAGTAATACTACTTTTTTTTTATATTCGTCTCGCCATATCTTATTTATACCTTCTCTATTCACCTCCATTTAATTTCATCTAATTATATTTAAAATCTAAAAAAACTCTACGATCAAATTAATTTGCTGATAAAGGACATAGTTGCTAACAGAATTTGGTATTATTCTTCCGCATTGTTCTACGTAAGAGCTACATATCAGTAGAGATGTCTAAATAACACGCTTATAAACACTGAATGAAATAAATGTTTCGAAGTAAGTACTACATAATTTATATGCGCAAATAAGTTAGTATAATATATACCTTCGCTTACAAGCATTATATCCAAACAAAGATCGGTTCTCGGTAATTGCCGAAAATAAAATATTTTTCAAGTTTTCTTTCTATAAAGTAGCATATTCTGAAAGAAGTTATAAATCACACTAAAATATTCACTTTTTATTCTTTAAAAACAACACAAAATATGTCGATGCACGGAATAAAAGTTTATCCGAGTGAACTTCGAAAGAAAACGAAAACAAACATCACACCGCACTCTACGAAATTTACCTTGAAATGATGTTTACAGGCAGAGAAACCAGATATTTTCGAAGAAACTAGCCTATTAAAGTAAAAAATAGCCTAATGCAGTAATAACATAAAATTAAACAAAATTAGATCATAAGAAAAGTATAATTACCTTTAAAAATTGAAAATTTAATGCATTTAATATACTGTACAGTACAGTATGTTCTATTTCACTCGCTTCTTTAACAAAAAGTTTTGAATCGAAATTTAGCGTGATGTTGGTTTGATTAAAGGTAAAGCAGCATATGTTTTCATTTTTGAAAAATATTTTATTCTCAAAATTGATGCTGAAAGATCCGAGCTCATTTTCAGGTTTCTCAATTTGGTTTTGACCATAGCGAAAGTAAGCAATATAAACACAATGGAAACTTCGATATCTCGGAAAATGTAGGATTCCCTACAGCAGTTTTAATAGTTGGAACTTGCACCAAAACTCCGATGTAAACATTATCTGACAGTAGACTGAAAAATACTTGTCCAGTCTACTGTCAATTAGATGCCGCCATTGTCTCTATTTCTCCAATTTCGAATTGATCAGACAGAGCTAGGGAAAGTTGAAAATAGAGAACGAGTACGACTTAAAAAAATTAAGTTTATCTCCCAATAATTACTTAAGTAATTCGATATATCTAGTTATGCGAGTAAAAATTTCTTTACAGGCTATTTTTAAAAAGTTTGAACATCTGTCTTTAACTATAAATGCTTGTTCATAAGAAATTTCATTTAATGTAACTTTATTCACCAAAAGGTTTAGTCCAAATCAATCTTTTCATTTGACATATAATTAGATTAATCATTTAAATCTATGTGAATTTTCACAAATTCAAAAAAAAAAACTCTTCTTTGCATAATGCAATGCTCATAATTTATGGAGTGTTCTAAAACGCGCGGAAAAGACATGACTTTAGCATTTTTAATGTCGCTTGTTCTTGTAGATGGAATATATTACGATGTATTAAAGTAATTTCTTTTCTTGCAATCGATGAGTGTCTGTGTGTTTGTTAACAAAGTTGTTCTAAAACGGAACAAATAGCTGGAAATAAAACATCGTTTGTAACCTTGAAACGGTCGCTTACTCACACTACGTTTTCTGCGTCAGATCCCACCTTCCATCCACATAACAAAGTATTTAGAATTAAGAGCGGACACAGAGCAAGACACAAGCAGAGATGACAGTGAGAATTTATTGGTGTAACGATGTTTTGAAATTGCAGCTCAAAAATGTAACTTCGACTTACTGCATAGAATTTCTTCATATCAAACGTATGGGATATAAACAGCAAAAATTTACTGAAACAATACAGCGTTTGTCTGTCAAAAAATGAAGCAAATTTTAAACGTTCTCATAAAGTTCCATAATATGTATACAATATATATAAAACACGTAATGTTAGAATCATGTATGCCTGAAGATATTCTTTCAAAATTTATCAAATATATATATAAATAAAACTCGTAATTTACTACCGCTCGAAGTTTTTCAACAACATATAGCAAATAATTTACTCTGGAGGCACATTTACCTAAACAAACGTGTTAACATAGGCATATCGCAGTTCGGACAAACTTTTCAGTTTCAGTTTCGAACAAGCGAATACCTTAACATCTGAATTTGTATATCCGCGGCCGAAACAAACAGTACAGTTCGAATATGCGTATTATGAATTAAAGCAAAATATGCACTCTTCTAAATATTGATTGAATCAATTATATTAACTGCAATTAGCACCGCATGTATCTATAGAACAATTCTCTGTTCAAGAGAATTTTATATAATAACAGTTTAATTTTTACTATAATGTTTCTTAGTTAAAACTTTTCAGAAACTCCAAAAAAAGATCATTTTAATTCAAAACCAGTTTTGCTTACAACTTTCGATAATTCTACATCAATAAAAATTAAAAATAACATTCCTTCAAAATTTCCATGTGTGAATATTTCTATTTATTTTTAAATCTTGGCTTCGAATGAATTTCGCTGGACATAATTAGTATTCATATGGCTATCGTCTGTTGTGGATCCGAAGGTGTGTAATTAAGTGTGACTTTCGTGAAAACTTCTGTTTACACTCGTCACAACTGTAAGGCTTCTCTCCAGTATGGACCCGAAGGTGTTGAATTAAGTTTGACTTTTGTGAAAACTTCTGTTTACACTCTTTACAACTGTAAGGCTTTTCTCCAGTGTGGACCCGAAGGTGTAAAATTAAGCTTGATTTTTGTGTAAATTTCTGTTTACACTCGTCACAACTGTAAGGCTTTTCTCCAGTGTGTGTTCTAAGGTGTAATATTAAGCTTGACTTTTGTGTAAATTTCTGTTTACACTCGTCACAACTGTAAGGCTTTTCTCCAGTGTGGACCCGCAGGTGTTGAATTAAGTTTGACTTTTGTGAAAACTTCTGTTTACACTCTTCACAACTGTAAGGCTTTTCTCCAGTGTGGACACGAAGGTGTGAAACTAAGCTTGATTTTCGTGCAAATTTCTGTTTACATTGGTCACAACTGTAAGGCTTTTCTTCTGTGTGGACCCGAAGGTGTCTAATTAAGCTTGATCTTTGTGTAAACTTCTGTTTACACTCGTCACAACTGTAAGGCTTCTCTCCAGTGTGGACCCGCAGGTGTTGAATTAAGTTTGACTTTTGTGTAAACTTCTGTTTACATTCGTCACAACTGTAAGGCTTTTCTCCAGTGTGGACACGAAAGTGTAAAATTAAGTGCGACTTTTGTGAAAACTTCTGTTTACACTCGTCACAATTAAAAGGCTTCTCTCCTGTATGGATTCTTTCATGATTTTGCAAATTTTGTTTAGTTTTGAAATTCTTCTTACAGCGTTTACATGAAAATTGTTTTTGGTTCCATTTCTCTGCAATTAAAAACATCGTTTTAAATAATATTTTATCAATGTATAATAAAAAGTTTTA